ATAATGAATAGAATGTATTCTGTTTCATTATGAATGTTGTTTAAGTTTTAAGATTTTTGTCATGTTTCAGACTGCCTGTCTTACCACTGGTCAAAAGGAAAATTGCATGTGGTCATCTGTTAGGAAGAATAGATTAACAGCTTCAAACTTTGGTTGTGTTTTGGCAGCGATCAAGAGAAATAGGTATACTGGTAGTTTACATGCCTTTATATATATATGTAATTATAAATGATACTTGTAAAAGCAGTTAATTATAAAATCAAAAATATTGAAAGTTTGCTCCTTATATAACAGATATCCTGTCTCCTTATACAAAAGATTATGCTCAGCTTATGATCTGTCAAAGAAGGATGCCATTATTTGGGGGACGTGCAATGAAAAAGTCGCAATTGAAAAGTATAGAACTTTTGGGGATGCAGTTGTAGAGCCAACAGGTTGGTATATTTCTTTCCTAAGCAAAATTTCAATTTCTTTAAAGCAAATAAAAATTGATGATAAATAAAATTTTTTCTTGAGCTAATTTATTTAAAATTCAGTTATTAAACTGAAGTTGAAGATAATGAATATAAATATACTGTTTTTATATTCTATTTATAACAAGTCATCAATGCATAAGAAAATCAGAGTGTTGCATATTAATGCTATTTTGTAACTTTATAATACTGTTCATATTAGGTATCTGGCTACACTGTAATGGGGTTCTTGGGTCAAGCCCCGATGGACTCATTCGTCGTCCTGCTGCATTCGGATTCAGCTATCAGAATCCAGGACTCGCTGACATATTAGAGATGTCAAACGTTAAGCCAGAAATACTGGAGGTGAAATGCCCCTTTTCAGCAAAGAATATGACAATTCCAGAAGCTATTGAAAAAGTACATGATTTCTGCCTAGGTAATAATAGTGTATATGTATTTGTTTGAATATGTTTCATGTACTGAGATATTACTTTAAATAATTCCAATATATTAGTTTGGATAAATTTAAGTACAATTTAGCAATTGTTAAAAAAGTTTTTTCCTTCTGTTGTAATGTTAGTCCTCAAGGCAGATGATTTGCCTTCTCACTTTATTGGACAGTAAGGAACAATATACTTATACATGTAAATATTTATTAGTTAAATAGTTTTGTTGTATATTAATGATTGAGGCACCAATGAAAATTCTTATTCTTTAAAAATCTTCAACATATATTTTTTTCATATAGAGGTTCAGGATTTTAATGGAGTCAAGTCCTTCAAGCTACGAGAGAACCACCAATACTATGATCGAGTGCAAGGACAGCTTCATATAACTGGGAAATCCTTGTGTGATTTTATGGTCTGGACACCAAAAGACTGTGCGATTGTGAGAATTAACAAAGACATCAATTGGGAGATCAACATATCTGTTTTGACGGACGTTTATTTCTGTAAATTTCTCCCGTATTTACAACAGCTATAAGATATAACATTAAACATGGTGAAAACATTTTAATTTTAATATCTTAGTTATCTACACTTGCAAAATTCTGAGCAATTTCCTGCATAAGGGGATCCTGAAAATTGACTAAAACACAGCATAATTGAAAGACTTTTGTAGAAATATATCTAAATTGCTGCGGAACATGCCTTAAAATTTCATAATTCTTAATACACTCATTTGCTCTTTCAACATGTATGCGTGTCTTAGCAATTCTTCGACATAGTTGGACCTCACTGGGGGTGTATTGGGATTTAGATGTAAGAAAGGGAGGAATATTTAAATGTACTCCTTGGGGCAACAACTTGTGAATAGTGAACCCTTTGTCTGCTAAGATCATATCACCTGGTGATAACTGTTCTAAGACTTTACAATGTTCTACAATTGCAACATCAGATGTGCTGCTAGGGTACAATTTACTAATAAATACCAAAGCACCATTAGGTGCAACACCTGTAACACTTTTAACAGTGTGAGAATTTTTGTATCCGCTGTATGTGCTGGCCTGCAATCTCATATCATTCCCTGGAACATCCTGGGTGATTTCTGTTGATCAAGTACTATTCTGCATGAACTAAAATCCCCAAAACTTGTAGGCATAGACCCCTTGCACTTCTGGAGAGAAGGAATGCGACTCTCTACGAGTCCTTCATATAATATTTCATGCAAAGCACAAATCTGCGAAGTTACAATGTTATTGACAGATGACGGACTCGTGTTAAACCTCTCAGCAAGGTCCAAAAATGGGGTGTTCATTGTCAGTTTCATTAAAGTCATCAACAATTGGTCAGTCAATGAAATGAAAGATGGTGTCCATCCATCAATATACTTTATCTGGAACCTCTGCATCATTTCATCAATGGCAAGAGACATGTCAGGACGTAGACTTGTGTACATCAGCATCTATATTAAAACATGACATTAAAAACAGTGTCAAGAATATTTTTCATTTCATTATTCAAATTTATTTGCCCATAAAAATACTGCCCAGCAGTATTTCAATTAAATAATTTTACAAGATATTTTCCTGACATTGCATGTTCTAGCACTTATCCAGTCATTTATCACCGGCTGATGAACTGTCCAGCAGTTGGCCCATCATCACAATAAATATGTCAACTGAAATGAAAATACTTAACCACAAAGTATCGTGTTCAAAGACATGCATGAGCATAGCTTATTTTTATGACAGGAGATTATCAACTATAAATTTAAACATTTTAAAAAGCTTTTTAAAGCTGAAATTTTATTTATTGTCTATTTTGAATGATTACAAAATGAAACTTATTTATCTTATATATGCTGTTTACAGTATAAACACTAAAATAAACTTGTAATATAGATGTAGTGTTTGATATATTTACACTACCTATTTTCCAAAGCGTACCTTTCTCTCATCATTTAAGATATCACCAATCCTGAAAGCACGCTTTGTTGACATCATCCTGACCTGTATTCTTAGTTCTTCAACTTCACGCCGCAAATTCTGAGGAATACATGTAAAATGTACCTATACATGTACCGGCATCAAAATCAGAATTAAAACATCATGTACTAGGTAAAATGGAAAAGACACAAAGTTTTAATCTATCCTATCAGACAACATTTTGTATTAATAAGGTTAATCTATTGCTTCTAACAAACTACATGCAATATGTCACAGATTTTTGTGTACGGCTATCCTATTTACCTGATTCTCTTCTTTTAATTGATGATATGAAGCCTGATAGGAGTGGTCTAGAGAAACATGTGATGGTTGACATGACATTGCAGTAGATTCACACTGGTCTTCAGAGACTGCCTTTTCTTTGAACTCTCTTTTTACAGTTCTCGATAAGCCGAACAAAATACAAAGTAACATTTTATGCATTGAAAACTAAGCTTTAATACATGTACATGTTTGTTTATTATATAGCATCAGACAAGCATATTAACAATTCATGTTTTATTACACTACTGTAAATCACTTTTTATTCGCGAGAACTTTATTTTCGCGTAATTACGCGAGACGGTATGCTTGCGAAAATTTCATTCTCGCGTATAAAAGAATTCCTTAAGATAATATAAAGAAATGACCACAATTCGTGAAAATTTTGTCTCGCTAATAAAGAGTCAACGACTATCTCGCGAAAATAAGGTCTATAACAGTATATTAAAGTAATCCTCAGTATCTTATGCATCTAATAATTCCTTATATCATTCATACTTTAACTGATACCTGTTCTTTTCACCTGTGTGCTGTTCTTAAGCCCGGCTTTCAGTACTTTCAGTACTTTTGGCCGGTTGCGTATCTATGGTTTAAACTCTGGATCAATGATTCCAGGTTTAAATCATGGTTTATGCGTTGCACGCAGGTAAGGATCAGGTGAGTACGGCTCAGAATTACGGAAAATTCTGAACCTGCTATAGGGGTGGTTTAAACCAAGCTTCGTATTTTTGTTCGGAGTGATGGCGGAGTATTTGGAAGAAATTGAGAGGTTTGATCTTGTAGATAGATTGATTAGGAGAGAACAAATTGTTAGAGATAGACTTAATCCTATCACTTTTTACAACGAAGCTGATTTTATTGATAGATTTCGTCTTAGCAAAGAGGCCGTTTTGTCTATTCTAGATGACATTAATGTTGACTTGGGAGGTGGAAATTTGCACACTTCATCCATCTCCCCATTAAATCAACTTCTTATAACGTTGAGGTATTATTCCACTGGCAATATGCTATCAGTAAGCGGTGATTTGTTTGGGGTGCATAAATGCACCGTTTCAAGAATCATTAAGAAAGTTTCGTGTGCAATTGCTTCTTTGTACAACACACATATAAAATTCCCCTCTGGAAATAAAATTTTGGATGTACAAAGAGCATTTATTCAACAAAATAACATTCCCGGTATTGTGGGATTGATAGATTGTACTCACATCCCCATTATTTCTCCTGGAGGAGATAATGCCGAACTTTTCAGAAACAGAAAAGGATATTTCTCTATTAACGTACAGGCAATCTGTGACCACGAACTCAAGCTAACTAATGTTATAGTACGTTGGCCCGGCAGTACACATGACAGCAGAATTTTTGATAATTCTAACATTTGTGCAAAATTTGAACGTAGATAAATTAATGGAATTTTGCTCGGTGACAATGGTTATCCCCTGCGTCATTATCTCATAACTCCAGTTCTGACTCCAAACTCCAGAAAGGAGAGAAGATTTAATTTTGCTTTATGCAATGCTCGTGTAAAAATTGAAAATGTGTTTGGAATAATGAAAAGACGATTTTCTTGTTTGCGACAACAACTTAGATTAAAGCTTCAAACAAGTCTAACAGTCATTACTGCCTGTTGTGTGTTATATAATATTGCGAGGGAGCTCTCAATTCCTCTACCACATGAAGATGAACGTCAGGAGAATGACCAGGTTCCTGTACCTGTCCTACAGAATCGCCACCAAGGAGGCAGGCCCTACGTTCAGTTCTGATTCGTAATTTCAGATAAGATCTTAAAGTAAGTATAAGAATTATAATATGTATCTTTTGTATTTTATGTATTTTATTCAATATACCATTTCTTATTGCCTAAACAAATTAAAATGGTCTCCATGCAATTTCTTTACTTGCACTAGGTCTATTGCTTGTTTCATTGGTACATGCAGTGGCCATGGATTCCTCTAGCTTACGCTTTTTCAGATTGAGAATATCTTCTTTCAGTTTATAAATTCTCATCTTAGCGGCATGTTCTTCTTCTGCCATCTCGAAGAGCCTGCCTTTAACCTGCTCTTGATTACCTTGGGGCCTTTTCTTCTTAACTACCGATGCTGCTGTTGATGATGAGGAACTAGAAGAGGAGGCTTCATTGGATTCAGTGACACGGTTTGCCTATGTGAATAAATTTATCTTCATTTAAACTCTTATTGCGAACTTTTTATGACATTCAAATATAGGATAATGTACTGTCTATACTTGTAAATTAATAGCATTAAATGTAATATTTAATTTATATTTTGAATTCTTCATCATTTTTTACTCACCGCTTCATTAGTACTAGAAGTTCGTTGTACATCTCCATGTAAACTAGCGTCGTCGTCGAATTCATTAGATAAGCTGTTAATCTGCTGAGGAAGCATGGTTGAAATTGCAGCTGAAACGGTATCCAGTCCTGTTTCAGATTGTGGCCCTCCTCCAGTTTTTGTCCTCTCTCTTCGGTCTTTTGCAACTGCAGATTTTGTCCGTGACTTCATATTTTTCCAAAGGGACTTCAGCTGTATACAGGTCCTTTGGTTGACACCGTGACTTGCATTGAATTCAGTCCGTGACTTCATATTTTTCCAAAGGGACTTCAGCTGTATACAGGTCCTTTGGTTGACACCGTGACTTGCATTGAATTCAGTCGTTATTTTTTCCCATTCCGAATTCTTCTTCAATACCATTTTCCCGTCATTTTGTTTATTTTCAATGATATCCTTCTAAATTCAATAAGTTCTAACAAAACAGATTTTCCAGGGCAGTAAAATTAGGAGATTTACTGGGTTTCGACATTCTTCAGTTATTTGCAAACGAAAGTCTGGATCAGGTAAGCGTGGTTTACTTTTCAAGCGTGCAACTGAATTACTACTCAGGTAACCCCGACTTACCTTGCTTTTAAACCCGGTTTACGTGATCCGTGGATCCACCACTGAGCTGTACTTAGCTAAACTATAGATACGCAACTTGCCATTTGATTGTAAGCGCCCTGCACACATATCCTCGACAACCGTGCGAGTCATTTTACTCTTAAGCCAATTCACCGAGCCAAAGCAGAATCCTCGACAATCATACGAGCCATCTTACTCTTAAGCTAATTCAGCGAGCCAAAGCAGAGGAAGCAGAATCCTCGACAATCATGCGAGCCATCTTACTCTTAAGCTAATTTAGTGAGCCAAAGCAGAGGAAGTAGAGCTGTATACC